AGCAGCTGTCTTGCTGCAGACTCCCATTAATAAGCCTCAACGTTTGCCTGTAGAAATAGAATGAGGTCACTCAGCCCAGCGCTCTTGGGGTCCTGGGGTGCAGCGAGGAGTGCTCCACTGCTCTGCATTGCTGCGATAGAACATCACAGTGCGTTCCTGGAAGCGTGGGTGCAAATGGAAGGGAAGTATGAGTGCAGCTGCAGTGGGAGAGGGCAGGATGCAGCAATGCCTGCAGACAGGGAGCAACATCCAGAGTGACAGCGCTGCAGGAAGGAACAGAACGTGGAGAGATGCCTGCTGCACTGTGCTGCATACAACTGCTGCTGGGTTTGGTAAAGCTGCAGGAGGAGCACATGGGCTGTGGTGGTTCTGGCAGTGAGCTTACAAGGCTGCACTTGTGCTTCATTCCAGAGGTGAATGCATGCTTCGGTTTGCTTTTCTGCTGCCTGCTGTCTCCAGGGGTTGTAAAGCAGTGAACAGCACATGGGGAGCATCACCCCACGTGAACGCAAACTCATACATTGCTGTGCATTGCGGGGAGCATCATCTGCATTGCATGCATTGCGCTGCATCACAGGGAGCATCACCTGCACTGCATGGCTCTGTGGGGCTGAGTGTGGATTCATGGGGCTGGAGTGAGGATCCATGAAGCTGAACTTGGTTCCTTGCGGCTGAGCGTGGATCCGTGGGGCTGAGCAGCGATCTGTGGGTCTGAGCGTGGGGCTCAGCAGTGATCTGTGGGGCTGAGCGTGGATCCGTGGGGCTGAGCAGTGATCTGTGGGTCTGAGCGTGGATCTGAATGTGGCTCCGTGGGGCTGAGCACCGATCTGTGGATCTGAGCATGGGGCTCAGCAGTGATCTGTGGGGCTGAGCGTGGATCCGTGGGGCTGAGTGTCGGTCTGTGGGGCTGAGCGTGGCTCCGTGGGGCTGAGCAAGGATCTGTGTAGCTGAACTTGGTTCCTTTGGGGCCGAGTGCGGCTCCGTGGGGCTTGAGTGAGAATCTGTAGAGCTGAACTTGTTTCCTTGGGGCTGAGCGTGGATCCGTGGGGCTGAGCAGCGATCTGTGGGGCTGAGCGTGGATCTGAACGTGGCTCCATGGGGCTGAGTGTGGCTCTGTGGGGGCTGAGCAGCGATCTGTGGGTCTGAGCATGAGGCTCAGCAGTGATCCGTGGGGCTGCGTGTCGGTCCGTGGGGCTGAGCAAGGATCTGTGAAGCCAAACTTGGTTCCGTGGGGCTGAGCAGCGATCTGTGGGGCTGAGCGTGGATCTGAACGTGGCTCCGTGGGGCTGAGCGTGGATCCGTGAAGCTGAACTTGGTTCCTTTGGGGCCGAGCAGCGATCCGTGGGGCTGAGCGCGGATCCTCGGGGCTGAGCGTGGATCTGCGGATCTGAGCGCGGCTCCGTGGGGCTGAGCGGCGATCTGTGGATCTGAGCATCGCTCCGTGGATCTGAGCATCGCTCCGCTGCCCCCGGCTCACCTCGGCCGCTGCCCCCCGTCGATCGCCGCTCCGTGGGGCTGCGCTCCGTCCGCCGCCGCCCGTCTTTGCCGCAGATTTCCCGGCATGCGTGCCGAGCTCCGACCCGCCCTTATTTTTCCTGCGTTAAAAAAGTGCTTTGTCAGAGAAAAGCACGCGAGCGGCTGGAGGCGCTGCGACGGAACGGAGCGAGAAACGGGATGGAGCGGGGAGAGCGCGGCGCTGAGCCGGGCTGGAAGGCGCTGAGCCGGGCGGGGCTGCAGGTGCGTCGGGCGGGGTGACGGCGCTTCGTGCTGTGCGTCTGCGGGGGGCTGCTGGGGTCTGGGGGCGCCGCTGGGACTCGGGGGGCTGCTGAGATTTGGGGGGCATCTCTGGGACCTGCGGGGGAACCGCCGGCGGCCGAGAGGGCTGCTGGGATTCGGGGGGTGATGCTGAGACTTGGGGTCACTGCCGGGATGTGGGGGGCACTGGGGGGTTTTAGGGGCACTGCTGAGAGCTGGGGGACTGTTGGGGTCAGGGGGGCACCGGGGTGATTGCTGAAGTTTGGGGGGCTTTGATGGGAGCAGGGAGCGCTGCTGGAACTTCGGGGCTGCTGGGGTCAGAGGGGGCAGTGCTGGGATTTAGGGAGCGCTGCTGGGATCCTGGGGGGGGCTGCTGGAAGCTGGGGGGGCACTGCTGGAACTTTGGGGCTGCTGGGGTCAGAGGGGGCAGTGCTGGGACCCGGGGGCTTTGTGCACTGCGGGGCTTTGCTCTGTCACTGATACTAAATGTAAACTTGGCAGCTGTGGCTCTCGCTCCATTCGGAGCAGTGCACGCTGCTGTGGGAGCTGCTGTCCGTTGTTGCAATGTCTCCATTTGCAGTGAGAGGAGCAGCAGACCGGGCTCAGTGCATGCAGCGCTGCACGGCTGTTGTTTGCACACCTGCAAGCAATGCTTCATGCAGCCCGCTGTGTGAGCAGGGCTGATTCCTGCCCACAGCTGGCGGTGTTGAGCTGCACGGATCCACCCCGTGTGCACAGCACCGAGCAGCACTGCGGGGCAGCCGTGCACAACGTGCTGCTCCTGCCTGCCTGCTTCAGCATGCAGCACTCAGGGAACGTGCACATCTTAGTGTTCTCTCAGCTATTTCCTCCTTTTTCTGCATGCACGTGGAGATAACTCGCAGGCAGCGTGTAACGACGTGGTCTTGTTCCTCAGCTGCATCACTGCCACCACCACCCCTTGCTGTGAGCCCTCAGCATTCTGCTCCCATTCAGCTGCATCAGCACCGAGTGCTGAGTCACCGCTGCTCAGCCCTCCCACCCTGCGTGTGTCTGCATTGCTCCACGGCTGCAGCTCTGCTGTGGTGGCTGCGTGGTGCCTGCAAGGCCTCCAGCAGTGCAGTGCTGTGCAGTGATCTGCTCTCATCATTGTGCTGCATGCTGACAGCGTGACCTGCAGTGCTGCTCCCTGCCTGCTCATAGAATCACAGAATGGCCAGGGTTGGAAGGGACTGCAAGGATGATGAATCTCCAACTCCCTGCCACACGCACGGCCACCAACCTCCTCATTTAATGCCAGCCCAGGCTGCCCAGGGCCCCATCTAACCTGGCCTTGAACAGCTCCAGGGATGGACGGGGCATCCACAGCCTCTCTGGGCAGCTGTTCCAGCACCTCACCACTCTCATAGCAAAGACCTTCCCCCTGACATCCAACCTCAATCTGCCCTCCCTCAACTTCCAACATTTCCCCTTGTCCTGCAGTTATCTGCCCTTTCCAAGAGTTGATTCCCCTCCTGTTTGTAGGCTCCCTTTAGGTACTGAAGGCTGCAATGATTCACCCCGCAGCCTTCTTTTCTCCAGGCTGAACAAGCCCAGCTCCTTCAGCCTGTCTTTGTAGGGACGTGCTGCAGCCCCTGCTCATCTTTGTGGCTCCTCTGGACCCTCTCCAACAGCTCCCTGTCTTTTTTGTACTGGGGGCTCCAGACCTGGACACAGTGCTGCAGATGGGGCCTCACAAGAGCAGAGTAGAGAGGTACAATCCCCTCCCTGTCCCTGCTGGCCACCCCTCTGCTGATGGAGCCCAGGATCCCATTTGCTTTTTGAGCTGCAGGAGCACACTGCTGCCTCATGTTAAGTTTTTCAACCATCAGGACCCCCAGCTCCTTTTCTGCAAGCTAAATGAGCTAAATGCTCCCTGCCTGCTGCTTGCTTGCTGCTCCCTGCATTGCTTTGCTCCCATCCCAGTGGCAGTACAGCATCATCCACCTCCCTGCTGCTGGGAGTGGGACCAGCTCAGGACAGCTGCATGCACGCTGCTGCTTTGCACTCCTGCATTCCTACACAGAAAGAAACAGGTCTGCTTGCTGCTCCTGCATGCTGCACTGATAAGTTTTGGGCTATTTTGTGGCTCCTTGGGATAAACTAGCGCAAGGGCATTTTAAAGTTAGTTTGTTTGGCTGTTTGTTACTGGAAGTGTGTTGTTAACACAGTGCAAAGTGATCTGCTGTCACTGTGCAAATGCATTGAGCTGCACTGCAGCCTCCATCACACTGCAAAGCAGGAAAAAGTTACTCTGTGAATTCATGCAGATCTTACAAACCAGTTCAATACCCCCCATAGTCCTTCATGTGAAGAACAGCAGCTGGATTTGGTGCTGAGGTTGGAGCTTTCCCAGTGGCATCCCATGCAGCTGGGTGCACGCTGTGCCCATGGGGCCGTGCTGGGTGGCACCAGGGCCTCTGTAGTGTCTCCTTGCCATAAACTGGGGCTGTACACGTGGTGTCAGTGCTGTGCCTTGCTCTGTGTGACAGTGCTCTTCTGGAGCCTCCAGTCCTTAGGACTGCTTGGTGCCCACTGTTTGGTGCTCAGACTTGCCTTGCTTTCTTCCTGACCTCACAGCTGCCCATGCATGCTTGCAGCAGAGGCCATTTGTTGCACCCAGCAGTGCTCAGAGCAGCAGTGCGTGTTGCAAAACCTGCAGGCATTGCTCCACAGCCCCTGTTTTATGAGTCTGTTTGGTACTGGAAACCCAAACGCAGAACCAGCCCTTGGTGCTGCAGGTAACGCAGCCGTTTGCCATCCCAGCTGAGTTGGGTGCAGCCAGAGCTTCCCTCCCTGCTGTTGGTTCATACCCTCAGTGCAGCACCGTGCATTGCAGAGGCCTGCTTCTGCTCCCTGACCAGCAGTGTAGCTGGGCTGCTTTCTGCTTCCAGCCCACATCAGCCCCGCGTGCCCCAATGTCCCCATCGACGCGCACAGCCGTTGTTTCTAATCCGGCCAGCTGATCGATGGACACCAGCGTGCAATTAATTGTGTGCTGCCGTGCTCTGTGCCCATCCTCATTGATCCAGGGCAGCGAGCAGCGTCCTGTTCTCACTGCCTGCCTGCTCTGTAGCCCAGCAGATAGCTTTCAAGGGAAGCAATTTCAGAGAGCCTCGCGTTTCTTCGTTGCGGGGCTCCTTTGGCCATGGGGCTCAAGGAGAAGCTGCGTCTTCCTGACCTGTCCTCTGCCATGTTCTACTTGTGCTGTTTTGGTTCTCATGCAGATGGAGGGAGCGAGGAGCCGCCAGACCGAAGACAGGCAAGTGTAGACGCCCGGCAGAGCCGCTCTGGGCAAGGTAATGGCTGCTGCTGCTGCTGCTGCTGCTGCTGCTGCTGCTGCTGCTGCTGCTGCTCTCCGTCGTGGCCTCGCTTCTCCGTGCGCTGCTCTGTGTCCGTCTGTTTCTTGCAGCCGTTGCAACCCCTGCAGCTGCAAACCTGCTGCGACCCCCCAGAGCTGCTCAGAGTTTGCAGGAGCTCACGTCGCGTTGCTGCATTGTCTGTGTGTGTGCAGGCTGAGCTCTGTGCTGCTGCTCGGAGCGGTGCAGTGTCAGCAGCCGAAACTGCTTTGCTAACGTAGGAGCTGTGCTCTCGTTGCCTTCAAGTGTTGCATCTGGAAGCAGATCTGTCAGCCCCCTCGTTCCTCTCCAGTGTTCACTGTGGGAGCTCAGTGACAGCTTGCATGCATTGTGTGTTGTGGTGGAGTACAGGAGTGGTTCTTTTGCAGCGCATGGAGCTGCTGCTTCCTTCTCTGTTGCTGTGTGCAATGTTGGGCTGTATTGGAGCAGGTTTGGGGCAGAGGACCCGCTTGGCTTTGCTTTCTGTTTGTTTTTGGGTTTTTTTTTTGCAATTTTTTACTTGCTAAAGAGTGCCATCCTGGTGGTGTGTGTCCTCAGGCCGTGCTGGATGCACACACCAGGGAGGTGTGGAGCAGCACAGCTCCTGCCGTGCACGGATGCTCTCAGCTCAATTCTGCAGCACAACGCTCACATAATGGGCTGAGGGCTCCAGCTGTGCAGGTCTGAACTCTCCATCCACAGTGAGAGCTCATCTTCCCTCTGTGTGCACTTCCACGTGGCTCTGTGCAGCACCCAACTCTTACATGGCTGATCCCTGATGCTGCGACCATTCCTTTGTTCCCATTGCTCAGTTTCCCTCAGCTTTACGCAAGCACCAGTGCTTGGGCAGAGCTCTGTGTGTGCCTGTGCCATGCTGGCACTGACACCATTCACCCTCCTGGTGCTGATGGGTGGTTGGGGATGGGCTGCACAGTGAGCAGAGCTGCTGAGCTCTCTGCAACTCCAGCAGTGCGCTGTGCAAAATTAATGCAAAGGATAAATGATGCTCCACGCGCCCTTAAAGGGATGTGCTCTGCAGGGGTCCCTGTGTGTGTGCTTAATTAAAGCAGCATGAAACGAATTGAAAAGCATCGGTGCCCAGATTGTGGCTGTAAGGACCATCTCTGAGCCAACGTACCTGAGTGTTTGGTGAGGATGGGAGCAGCTGTTCTGGTGCTGAGCTGTGGGCAGCAGACCCTGAGAGCTGAAACCCAGGCCCTATGGGAGTGCTGTGTGTGTAACCTCGTTAGGCTTTGGTGATATTGGAAACATCTTGTGGTGTTTGCAGTCCTCCCATGCTGGGCTTTGCATGCGTCCCACGTTGGCCGGACGGAGCTGGGGTGGCCACTAATGCCAAAAAGTCAAAGGGCTTTTGGTTCATTGGGGTTTTAAATTCAAAATGCAAGCAAGAAAAACCCAAACAAACAGTTCATGGCGCTGCTGTTTGCAATCTGAAGAGCAGCGCTGGGATGCTGTTGGAGAAATACAGTGATTTCTTTATGGGAAGGGCCAGAATTGGGGGAGATGAACCCAAACCCATGGAACCTTCCCCTCATCACCGTTCTGCCTCTTTGTGTCCCTCCAGGCACCTCCACAGAGAACGACTGTGCTTTCGAAGCAGACTACGCCATCCCGCCGCTCCCTGTGACCGAAGGTATGCAGCAGTTTCGGATTATGGAGGGCATGTCCCGCTCCCTTCCATCCTCCCCCTTACTCACACATCAGTCTATCAGTGTTCGGCTCCAACCCGTGAAGAAGTTGCCTGGTAAGGACTTTAAATAACATTCGGTGGGGGCTTTTTTGGTCCGTCGGTGCAAAATGTGTAAGGTGGTGGAAGCGTTCCCAGCAGCTGTAAAAGAACTTTATGCTGAAAGTTTGGAGGCTGGGGCAGTGCATCAGGGAAATGATGCTATTGTGCGGCAGAAGGGATCTTTTTGGAGGGTTTGTTTATGTTGTTGCACTGTTTTGTTGAACTGATGTCATTGGGGTTGGGTTGGAACACCTCGTGATGGAAAAGCAGGTGGGTTTCCCAAAGCAGCTGCTGTCGAGCAGCCATTGGAAAGCCCAGTGCATTCCTGCTGGTTGGAGCTTTAGGAAGCTTGCTTCTTGCCTAAAATTGGACATTCCTCTGTGCCCATCTTTAAATCAATCAGCCAGGGTGCAGCACTGCACCGAGGGAAGCCTCCAGACCAATGTTCAGCCAATGCCCTGAGTGCCGCTGCGCTTCGTGCCGTGCTGTTCCTGCCCACTGGTGAAAGGAGAAATTGAAAAAGGCTCAGTGGTTGTGCTGAGGATGGGCTGCGTGGCTGTGAGGGGTGGGGAGAGGTGTCCTCTGTTTGTGCCAAGTGTGAGAGAGTCTCCTGCCATGCCCTTGTCCCATGGACGCAACGGCCATCATCTCACAGCCTCTGCTCTCTTGCCAGCAAATCATTCCCCTCGTAGAGCTTCATAGGACCACGGAACTCTTAGAGATGGAGGGGACTCTGAAGGCATCTGACCCCACTCTGCTGTTCTGTGCAGGGTGCAGCAGGACGTGATGCTGTGGGTGCAGGTGGGGATAGGAGGAGGAGGGCTGCTTCGGGTCCGTGTCCATCTGGATGTGCATTGATAGAGCAGAAGCTGTGGGGTTACATCTGCTCCCACGCTGGGTTCTGGTAACCTGAAATGAAGCTTTTCATCTCCGTTGGTAATTAGGGTCCTTAATGTGAGACACCCGAGGTGCAGGCAGGTAGCTGGTCAGCCTGTAAACCTTCCAGGTTGCCTTTCTGTTAGCAGCCAGCTCTTCCTTCACAGCTGCATTCTGGGGACAGCCCTGTGCAAATCCCTTGGAGCCCCATTGAGAAGGTGGGCTACTTTGTACTCGAGTGCCTCCCCACCCATTTCAACACCCCATCCCAAGCAGAGCCAGCACAGCCTCTGATTTCACACATAGACATCGTGATGCTTTCAGTGGAGCTCTGACATACTTGAAATTCAAAGCATGCCTCGGTGGCTTAGCGTGATTTTTGTCATTATTAGTTTAATTTACTGTTGGTAGGGTGAAAGGGAGGTGCTTGCTGGGCGTCCTCATGCAGTCATTAGAGGAATTTGTTTGCTTTCATTGAGGTGATGTGTAAAGGAGCTGGAGGAGCAGCGTTGTGCTGCTGGTTGTTACTTGTAGTGTTTCTCACATCTCATCCATTTCTTAACTTCCTCATATTTATAACCCATCTCAGAGCTTCCAAACGCTGAGCATCCCTGCAGCTGCAGGCAGAGGGGAGAGCAAATCATTGAGGAATTATCCAGTTGTTTTGTGTTCTGTGCAAGCAACCCATCCATGTCACCACGTCCGTATATGCGCAGTGCTCAGCAGTGGGATGGTGCCCTTCATGGCATCAGATGCTGTGTTGGCTCTGTGTGTTTTTCCCCCTGGACACGTAGGACCGTCTGCAATACAGCACGGCTGTGCCACCCTGCTGCTGTGTGCTGTCTGCAGTTGTGCAGGGATGGAAGTGGAGGAGCAGCGCTGATGGGGCAGGCTGTGGGGGTTGGCCCTCTCCATGGGCATCACCAGCATCCCTTAATTAAGGTCTTAATTTCACCCTTTAGAAAGAGAAATAAGGCTGTATAGCACAGAGAAGCCTGGCCAGCAGATACAGCAGTGCTGTCTGTTGACTTGAATGTCATCTTTCAAAGCAGTGAGTCTGCTGATTTGTGCACAGGTCAGTTTGCCATCCGTGCCACACTGATGATTTCCACTTTGTGTTGAACACCACCCCGTGGTGCCATGATTTCCTCAGCAGAGGGCTGCCTTGCTCACTGGCAGCCTGATCCCTCAGTCTGCTCTATGCAGAGCCCTGGTGCGGGGCTGATAAATATTCAGTGTGCTTGCAATTTCCCTTCTGCTGGATTAATGGAAAGCTAAGGTCATCATTCCACTAAGGGGTGAATTAGCACTGAGCATAATTGATGCGCTCTGTCCCCCTCCTGCATTGGTAGCAGTGGGGCAGCAGTGGCTGAGGATGCTTTGGAGCAGTGCATGCAACCTCTGTCACTGCATTTGTTCTCTTTATAATGACAGCTTTATTAGGAAGCCCAATGGGAAATGTACCTGAGAAGATAGTAATAAAGCACCAAACCAACCCCAAAAATGCTTGCAGCCCAGGTGAGCGTGCAGACCATTCTGGTTTGCCTGCAGGCACGCTGGCACTTGGAAGTTGCTGCTCCTGCTGCACAGCACTGTTACACAGCACTGCACTGTGGCTGCAATGCAAACAGGGCAATGCATTGCATATCCCAGAGAAAGCACTGCTGTGCATCTCTGGGTGCTGCAGAGATGGGCGTGTTGGGGTGCAGTCCTGAGCCATTCCCATTTACACACATGGGGGTAATTCTGTTCCTCGCTGTCCTCGGCTATTTTTAATTCTCCTGTTGGGTAACAGGTTGCAAACTTAATTCTTTCCGAGTGGGAGCGTTTCTGAAGGCTTTAAATAGTGCTTGCTGAGCAGGGCCTTGGGAGCAACCTGTTCATCAGCTCACGGTGCAGGAGCTGCAGCTCCTGTGCTTGCAGTGCGCTGTCTGTTCGTGCATCGGGTGAAAGACACTGACAGCAGCATAAAATAATGTGGCTGTAGTGCAAGATAACGTGCTTTTCCCATGGGTAATAGCATGAAATAGTGTTTTTTTTCCCCCTGTGCTGCAGCATGGGGTCTAAACCACGGCTGTGCCTCAGCTTACTATGGCAGCTGTGTGTCTGAGCTGCCTTTCAGTGCACCATGCACCTGAGGATGCTCTGCCCCCATTGTGGTGCTGGTGCTGCAGGTTGGTGCAGCGCGGTGCTCAGGCCTTCCTTTGGGGCACCGTCAGCTCAGTGCCATTCCCTTCATCATTCCTTCAGACAGTTCTGCTTGGAAAGCACTGCAAAACCACCTCGTTCCTCTGCAATCTGTGCAAGGCTCCCCATGCACGCATCTCCTTCCATCCAAACAATGCCGGCTGCAAAACGACGAGAAGGGGACGCTGCGGCTTTAAAGCATCCCAGGGCCGACAGCCTCTTGGTATAAATTGTTCCCAGAATCCATGTCACAGCTCCTTATATGGGGCTGCTTTTTTTTCCTCTCCGTTGCCATACCAACCGCAGCACTGCACCATTCATCGGCTCCAGTCCTGGGCTGCATCGCTGCCCCTCGTCTCACTCCGGGAGCATCGGCGGATCGTTGGTGCTGTGCCATCCTTCACCTCTTCTTACAACAATTTGCTCAAAAAAAAAAAAAAAAAGAAGGGCAAATTAAATGCTGGCGGAACGAGAAGGGGTGTAGAAATCCTTCAGTTGTCCCCCAAGGGAGGCATGTAGTCTACGTTTGCTGCAGCATTCTGGAAGGAAGGAAGGAAGGAAGGAAGGAAAGGCTCTTTAATAGCGAGAGGATTAATGAAGAGAGGGAGCTGTGAGCTCTCCTGAAATCGTCACCTCGGAGCCCACACCGTGGGGATGGCGAAGATGCAGAGGTGATGGGGGGCAGCTGGGGGGCACTGAGTTGCTGTGGGCAGAGGGAGCTGTCGCTGCACCGCAGCCCTGGGCTGATGGCATGGAGCTGTGTGGGGCTGGGATGTGGGGCTGATCTGTGAGTCTGGGCTGCAGGTCTGGACTGTGGGTCCAGGCCGTGAGTCTGGGCTGTGCATCTGATCTGTGGGTCCTGGCTACAGGTCTGGGTTGTGGATCTGATATGCAATTCCAGGCTGTGAGTCCAGGCTACGGGTCTGGGCTGTGCAGTTGGGCTGGGGGTCTGATCTGCAGGTCTGGACTGTGGGTCTGGGCTATGGATCCAGACCGAGGGTCTTGGCTGTGGGTCCAGGCTGTGGGTCTGGTCTGTGGATCCAGGCTGTGGGTCTGGTCTGTGGGTCCAGGCTGTGGGTCTGGGCTGCATGTCTGGGCTATGGATCTGGTCTGTGGATCCAGGCTGTGGGTCTGGTCTGTGGGTCCAGGCTGTGGATCTGGGCTGCAGGCTCAGGGCTGTTCTGTTGGGTCTCACTGCCCTCCTGCTGCAGCTTTGCATGCTTGTGGGTGCTGGGGAGAGAAAACAAAGCCCTGTGAGTGTCGGCACCACTCCTCTTGCATACACTTGCATTGAAATTGTGGTAGGCTTTGCTTGGTCTCCTTTAGCTCTGCAGAAAATCGATGTAGAATAAGAGGGTTGAGTGCCTGGAGCTGGCATGGAAGCCATTAGGTGGCTTGTAATGTAAGGGCAGGTTTTGCTGCTTTGGGTGTTTTTCTTTTGGTCGTTGCAATAGTTTTACATAACCCTGAGCTCGTTTCCTGCTCACGGAGATGAGAAGGATTGCATGGACAAAACCTAAAACGAATGTGCGCTGAAAAGCATTCCACTTTCTCAGCATTGCTGAAGTAGAACAGATCTACTGAGGAGCGGGCTGAAAAATAATTCGCCAGGGATATCAGGGATGGTATTTTTGGTTTTAGAGCAACAGCATCATGATGAGGTGTTTAATTGGAGCTGCTGGGAGGAACACCGGTACAGCAGTAACCATTTGCATGGTGTGGTTTGTGGAATGGCACCTGGTGCTGCGCTTCCTGTCATCCCTGGGTGTTTTGGTACCATTGTGGTTGCAGTGTGGTCACATTTTTCCCCGTTGCTTTCTGTAGCTGTTGCTCTGGCACCTTGGCATGGGTCGGGAAGGGCTGTGTTGGTGTTGGAGTGTGGGTGGGATGGAGGGCTGCTCCTGGTGAGCCCAGCAGCGTTCAGTGCCGCCTGCTTCAGGGTGCCGTGTTTC